TGGGTGAAAGAACTGTCAGTTTAATCCCTAGATGGCTTTAACAAGTTTTTTTTCTCCCGTTCAATTTTACAATGACGAACACCTGCAGCAGAAAAATTTAATCCAGGTCTTTTTTTCTTGGTTTTCCACCGGACAACTGGGAGGCGGGATCTGGTTGTCCGAAACGAAAATAGGTTGCCTTGGACAACCTAAACAAGGGTTATGTCGACCCCTGTTTAGTTATACAAGCCCAACAGATGTGCAGTTCCGCCATTGTTGCTGCCATGGAGCTGTGGGTGGGAGGTGCAGGGGAGGGGTGCTCTGTGAGGRGGGTGCAGACTGAGCTCCAGAGAAAACCTTTGTGTAAAGTAGGCGGGGCTTTGTACCAGCAAGCATTTAGACGGCTACAAATGGCTACCACAGGAGGGTTCAAGGATTTCTCAAACATGCATGAATGAGTCAAAGCAGCACTCTGTGTTTGATGAGGGAATACCATTATAACAGAAAGATTAAAAAAGTATTTAGCATTAGACCCCCGCCACCCACGGCACTAAAATATACTGGGGTTTTTTCTGATTTATGGTTTATAACTAAATTTTGTGTTTGGAAACATTGTCAAACAAAAACATGGTTTTAAATTTTACTCCTTCCTGTTAAAGAACCTCCAAATATGGAAAAAAAAAAAAAATCACTTCAGAACCCAGCAGAGGAGTTTACTTCTTTGCTGAATGCTTGGACTGAATTTTACTGCCAAGATGTTCTTTGCAGCTGTTTGGCTCGCAGTAAAGTGGACACTTTCTCTGTCAGTTCTTACTGCCTCTGTTTATAATGTCCACTATCAAATTAAGAAGGAAATGTTCCCAAAATTGAACTGTTGTTTATATTGCCTTCACTTACAAAAAGTGCAGTGTGTGAGGCTTGTTTAAAGTAACTACAAGATTAGAGGTCCTTGCAGAATTTGTGTGTACTTTGATTAAAACCTGTTTTTTTTTTGAGCCCACCAGTCATCTAATGGCACTGGGTGARATTTTGTTTGTGCTTGCTTGTTTATGCTCATATGAAAACTGTCAATATTTATCTTTCTTCTCCGTCTCCAGATGGTTGACTGTGACAACCTGCTCACCAGTCGGGATGTGCTGTGGAAGCTGATGAGGGAGAACAAGACCATCGTAGCTCCCATGTTGGAGTCCAGAGCTGCGTACTCCAACTTCTGGTGTGGGATGACTTCACAGGTACTGGAGATTTCTTTTAATCTGGTCTTCATTTTTCTCTCTCTAAAAAAATTTGATAAGTATTTTTAAACCCCTTTCATTACATATTAGATGTCAGTTTGGATCTTATGGTGTCTATAGGTACCAGATGGCTATATACACTCACCGGCCACTTTATTAGGTACACCTGTCCAACTGCTCGTTAACACTTAATTTC